CTATTAGTTTCACTTCCTTTTATACTGATGTGAAGCAGAGGTTACTGTAGCTTTAAATACTCATGTAGGATGTTAATTGTGAGTAAAGTATAAGCCAATGATGATTTGCACAAGCCAATTAATTCCCATTTAGGAATAATGCAGAAAAATAGGCAGAGTTAGTTTTCAGATTAATTAAGATGGAATAATTTGCAAGCAAGATTATTAATGAAGCAGGACAGAGTTGCAATTAGGAATAAATTGATTATTGGAGGAATAATTTAGCCTCAGAAGCAGTTCCTTATGAATAAGAGGGGATAACTTGAGAGAATGACACAAAAATGAGCCTTCAGATACAGTCTATGATTAGTAACAGAGAGTAGCTTGATTGGAGAAACAGTTACTTAACTTAAAAGGCAGTTCTGGAACTGAAGGGGTTAATTATATCCAATGGTGGAGAAGAGGTTTAGAAGTCCGTTTAGCAAGCCGAGGTCTAGGAGTGGAGAAGGTAGAATTCCATTTTAGCAAGCCAAGGTCTAGGAGTGGAGAAGGTAGAAGTCCGTTTTAGCAAGCCGAGGTCTAGGAGTGGAGAGGTGGGTAATTGTCCCAGAACGTTACCCGATACAGGCAGGGTTTAGGTAGAGCAGCCGATCACTTTGCAGGCACCTGTGCAAATAATCCAGCACTTTGAATCTGGCGCGGTCTTCCTAAGTATCGTGGAAGGACCGCGTCAAAAAAAGTGGCGGGGCTAAGCGCCGTGAACCCAGAAGTGGGTTCCTACGACGAAATGCATGTCAGGCTATACCTGACACATAGCTATCTGGGTTAAATTAGTTCATTCAGTAAATCCGAGAATCTACCGAACGCCAGGGCAGAAATACACGAATAGACCTTTCTGCATAGAAAATAATGTGTTTAAATGCCGGTCCATAGTCAAAAGGCAGCAGGCAGGCAACAAGGCTCCTCCAATGCACAGTGGCGAGATTGGTCTCGTCACAATGAGTATGGGATGCATTGTGTGTTTCTCTGTCTATATGTGATGCACTGTGTGTTTATGTTGTTCAGTGGTTTCTGCGTCAACGCTGTGAAAGCCAAGTATTGACAAGCCGTGGAGGTGAATGCGGAGACCCTCCTGTCCTCTTCCTGCTGCAAAAACTCTTAAAAAATCCAGGATCTCCCTGTCTGTGTGCAAGGGGCCCGGGCTAATATAAATATAGGACCCAGCCTGGGCCCTCATAAGTGAAGGGGTTATACCCCCCTGAAGGCTACCCTAGTCCGGACCACCCAGGACTCCCGGGCCCGTGACAACAGTCATGATTGTCACACCCTGGTGGCGGCTCTGCCTGCACGTTTGTGGACTCAATACCATAAACTAATTTTCCTGCTTGATGATGTATATAAATGTAGATCATTCTCTGTGATATATAGTATTTTAGACATATTGGTGACCAACTACTGCAAAGTCTACCTGCCTTCTCTGGCCAGTACTGTCCACTTTTACTTGTCTTTTGACTGGGTTAAAAAAATAAAAATAATGAAACTTAAAAAAATATAAAGAAATTGAAAAAAAAAACAAAAACAAAGATTAACAATGCGTTTCCTAGCAGTACTTAGGTGGAAAATTAAAGGGACTATCCACACACCTAAAATATGTTAGCTTAATGAAGTGCTTTTTGTTGGAAAAGTGTGTCCGATGTTTTACATTTTACAAAAAGTGCAGATTTCAATAGAAATTGGCACTTTTATAAATGTACATTGTTACACCCTCTGCCTGTCAGACAACTGGATCTGTTACTTTCTAGTTTTTTTTTCTCATAGAGCTGCATTGGAAAGTCTGTGACTGAGCACAAATGTGTGAATAAGAGACCCAAAAGGGGAAGAAGAGGTGAAACAAAATGGAGTAAGATATAAAGAAAAGAAGAATAAAACACAGAAGGGGGTCGAGTAAGAAACACAGAAGGTGGGAGTAGTAAGCTACACACAAGGGGTAAGAGACACAAAAGTGGGCTAAGAGACAAGTAGGGAGTAAGAAAGAGAAAATGGGGGGTTATGGGTTATAAAAAGGGGGCTATGTTACACAAAAGTAAGAGACTACAATAGTATGGTAAAAGATTAAAAAAGGGGCATAAAGGGACAACAGGGGGTTAAAAGACAAATGGGAAGAGGGAGACCCTAAAAGGGGCAGGCTATATGAAAGGGGCAATCTGATGAGGAAGAGGGGTATAAGGAGGAATAAGAGACCTGCATAAGGTTTAAGAGAAACACACAAGGGGGGTTGTGTACTAAAAATGCACCTTCATCTGTGTAGCACCCCCCCCCCCAAAAAAAAACCTGTAGCACCAACCTTGTAGAGATAAACACAAATACACCCTCTTCCTATCATTGCCACCAATTATGAGAAATAGTACTGTGACGAGACCAATCTCGCCACATTCCATTGGAGAAGCCTATTTGCCAGCCTCCTTCCACATGACTATGGCCCCTGGGAGATGGTGAAAACGTATGTACTTTTATTGGGGGTGTATGGCCCTTTAAGACAGTCAGTGGGCATATTGTGGCTTATGGACTCTTTATGGGACTGGTGCTGGCCCTTTAAACACCTTTTTGGGACATCAGGAAGATTGGGACACTGCCCCTTTAAGACGGTGTCCCCAGACCTGTTTGGGGGCCCCTTTAAGATGATGTCCCCTGTGTCCCCAGACCTGGTTAAAATCCTTTGTGCCTGGCTATTTCCCAGTTGGTTCAGTAAATGGGGCTTACTGAACCAAGTACCACACAGGCAGACCACCCAGAAGTGGAAGTGTGCAGGCAATTTACCTCCCAGAAGCTGCGGTTAACCGCAGCTTAATTGACAATGCTGGGTGGCCTTTGTTCGTTTGCCGAACACGTGGCGGTGGCCATCTTTGTTAATGCGAACGAGGTAAGCGGTATGTGTAGCCAAATTCAAGGAACTAAAATCTGCTACACATTTCCGCGAACACCGCTGAGCCCTACCTTCTCCCATACTGATTTTACAGCTGCAGAGGCGAAGTCCCAATCGGCTATGGGACTTAGTCGTTTTTTCAGCCTGAAATAGACCGACCGCACAGCCCAAATCTATGGAACTGTTTTGGACAGAAAAATGTGCTTGCGGTCGTTCATGAAGGGACCTCCAGCTAACTTTTTAAACCCTGGATGGATTTGTCTGATTTTTGGTTATGTTTAAAGTGTGCTGATTAATAATATGTAATTTTTATGAAGATTGGATGTGTAGTTTTAAAGTTACAGTGTATGGATAAAAACTGTAATTTTACTGCCTGTGTAAATTATGTTAAACCATTGTGCAACATAATTATATCACAGGCAGAGGGGAGGATTTTTGTGTGTAATGTACGTTTATGATTGGTTTTTGTGTAAAACCCTGTGGGCCGTACTAATGTGTATATAAGGACAATAAACCCACAGCTCTGACTATTCACTGCTTGACCCTCAACACAGAGCCTTGTCTCGTTCTTGGGGGGATTTATTGTATGCTGTTCCAGTTTGACTGCTAGGAGTGTAAGCCGCTTGGGTGCTTTTCCTGTTCAGCTGCTAGCAGCTATTCATGAGATTCCAGTTCGGGAGTTTGGAGTACTACTTGGTATCCTGTTCGGGAGTTTGGGGTTCTGCAGTAGCTGTGCCTGTGTCTCTGGAAGGGGAAGATCTACTAAACGGCAGTTAACCCCTTTTATGCTGAGGGTGACGTTACAAGTACATACTGCAGTGCAGAAAAAAAAAAAAAGGAAGAATGGCCACAGAAGTACTAGAGCCCCCACTTCAGGGCTAAATCAGTGAATAACTGTTTCATGCATTTAATGGTGAGCTGTTGTGGTTATGGTTCCAGGAGATCACTGCACCCCTGTAATTTTAAGTATTTAAATCATTTTAGAATGTTTTAACTTCTTGTTTGGGTTCTGTCGAGTGCTGCTCCCCAACTCTTAATTCTGACAGAGATAAGTAAGCGGTCAGTCAAGGAGAAGAAAATCGACATAAAATAATAATTAAACCTCTATTCTTCATGTGTCATACCATTCATTACCAAAACATAATATTCACAAACATGAAGTTTCAAAAACTAATTTATGGTTAAAATAAAAACAACTAACAGGGTTGATGTTCCAGGAGGGATAAGCCAAATGGCAAAGGATTTAGGTAAACTACAAAAATGGTCAAAGTTGGCATTTTACATGGTTAAGTGCAAGATAATGCATCTTGGACATAAAAACCCAAGGGCAGAGTTTCATAGAGTCCTAACCTCAACATCTGAGGAAAGGGATTTAGGGGTGATTATTTCTGATGACTTAAAGGTAGGCAGACAATGTAATAGAGCAGCAGGAAATGCTAGCAGAATGCTTGGTTGTATAGGAAGAGGTATTAGCAGTAGAAAGAGGAAAGTGCCCATGCCATTGTACAGAACACTGGTGAGACCTCACTTGGAGTATTGTATGCAGTACTGTAGACCGTATCTCCAGAAGGATATTGATACTTTAGAGACTTATGAGAAGGGCTACTAAACTGGTTCATGGATTGCAGGATAGGAAAGGTTGAAGGATGTTCACATGTATAGCTTGGAGGAAAGACAAGACAGGGGGATATGATAGAAACATTTAAATACATAAACAATCAACACAATAAAGGAGGAGACTATATTTAAAATAAGAAAACAAACTACCACAACAAGAGGACAGAGTCTTACATTAGAGGGGCAAAGGTTTAAAAATAATACCAGTAAGTATTACTTTACCGAGAGAGTAGTGGATGCATGGAATAACCTTCCAGCTGAAGTGGTCGAGGTTAACAAAGTGAAGGAGTTTAAGCATGCGTGGGATAGGAACAAGGCTATCCTAACTATAAGGTAAGGCCAGGGACTAATGAAAGTATTTAGAAATTTGGGTAGACTAGATAGACCGAATGGTTCTTATCTGCCGTCACATTCTATGTTTCTATGTAACCAAACACACTGACTTATAGAGAACACAAATTTAATATGCACTGACATCAAATGACTGTAAAACAGTGAGATTTATTGTTTATTTAATCAATCATTACAGGTGATGTGAAAAAGAAAGTAAGTTCAGATGAAAAAAAAAAAAAAACACATTATAGAATTAACATGTGTTAGAAAATGAGAAATACAGCTATACGTGGTCATTGTTCCAAGAGCAGTTCCCACTGCATTCTGGATGTTCAAATCATTCTTGATGTCAAAGATGGACAGTTATGGCTTCTTTAACAGTCTAGTGACAGAAGTAGTTACATGGATTTTTCAAGTTGGGTGAAATAGTAGTGAAAAGAACGGAAGCCTTTTCCTGTCACCAGTAGAATGCAGCTATACAATGTAATGTTCTTTAATATGCATCATTAAATGGGTACTTGGGGTGATCCTGCCACCTAAGGTATAGAGATAACACAAAAACGTATTAGTAATGTATGATCATTCTTTGAATAAAGGAATATAAGAAAGTGTGACTACTAATTATTAACTAGAGGTGAAGGTACTAGGCCCAGAATTTTCTCTTTTTTTAGTAGACATTTAATTTATTTTACCAAGGCAAAAAAAAAAAAAAGACACACAAGGCAAACATAAACTAATAAAATAGTAATATAATTAATATAAGTTTTACTCTTTTTTTAGCCATCTCCCTTTGCATTTACTCTTTTTAATATTATTTGAATGATATTAAAAGGCCCACAACTGTTTTCCTAACGCTTATGCTAACTCAATATTTGTGGCAGGAGAGTACACACACACACGTAGAGTTTTTTTCCTGACTTCTGAGCGCAAACTCATTTAATAGAATGGGGGATGTGGTTGGTAATAAAAGAGATAGAGGCCCTCAAGTAAACAAACAGGAGTGAGAAAGGGCTACCTTTTAGCAATTCCCACCAATGTTCCACTGAAGATATAAAAAAAGTTATGCTAGTTAACCTGCTGCATTTGTGACTAAACTAGTGAGGATTAAAAATGATGACCTCATTTGCGTGTTGCATAGTTAACAATAATATACTGTATGTGCCTTTCTGCAGGTTAATGCATAAGTTACTGATGGTTAACCTGGCTTGCAGATTATTGCAAACTACATGACCCAACAGCTTTTTGATACCAATACTTTCCTATGCAATTCACAAGGATAGAGCCAAGATTTGTTTTTTCAGAGTTTGAGAATAGACTTCCTACATGTTATCAGGCCTCTTGTTTGCGGACCAGCATTCTTACACAAAATACGCAATGGGCACATCTTAAACATATCTTGCTGAATCCCTGAACACAAAACATTGCTATACTCAGTGTGCACAAAATTTAATACTGCTACATATGATATGCATAGAGACAAACACAAAGACCTTCTGAACATCACATTTGTACACCTGGCCACCACTGAAATGACACATTAACTATCCAGCAGCATACAAAGATACCATGAAATAGTGAATGGTTCATTTATCATGTTTAAATCAAGCACTAACCTTTTTTTCTCAACTCTGCACAATTAAATGGTGTGCTTGAGAACTACAAATACAATAAGATTATCAACTACTAATAATTTGCATCACTCTAGATATAAAAAAAATCTTACTGTTTAGTTTCAATGTATCGCATGTTTGTATTAAGTCCATCGAGAGTTTTCATTTCTTCAGCACTTAACTCAAAGTCAAATACCTAAAGAAGACATAAGAATTAATATATATTATTAGATAGAATTACAGATACTAAGAAAAATCTAAAATTAATGAGTTACCATGGGTGATAAAAACAATTTCATCACTGGGGACATCACTGTAGTGTGGTCATCACTAGTGGCACCACTAAATTCACACAAGCTACCAAGAAGGACAGACTTCCTTGTTGTGAAAGTTAGTAAACTAAATAGAACTTTTAGATAAAAGCATGTAAAATTCTAGCTTTGTCCTACAACTCTGACCCCAATCCCTAAACCCTATTTGCCATCTCTGTTTTTGAAGGGTATCTTTTATAGTTAAGCCTGAGACATTAAAACAATAAATATGTAAGGGTTTATTAGTTAAACATTGAACTGTACAGAACGGACACATCTAAGGCAGCAATAGCCAGACTGGCAAAGCCTCCAACTCAGCTTTTATTCCAAGTCGGCAATATGATGCTACGTTTAAAGCCCCCCCAAATAAATAAATAAATAATCCATCAAACTTGCATGAGACTGAGGTTAGAGAGTCTGTGACATGCGTGGAGGTTAATGTTTCTGAATCGTTTTGAGTAAAGATCTCGTGGTTTAGCTACTTAATCTTGAAGAGTTCAGTGTAATTCGACAACTTCACAGCTAGCACGCTCACCATCAAGTTACCAGTGGTGGTAGTTGTGCGGTAGTTGAGCACAGAATATGATACAGCACCAGTGGACCTGCAGCCCGCCATATTATTTTTTTCTCTCCTTCTGCTGCTTCCCTCAGTAATACAGACTTGTGGTGTCTTTGCATATGCTGGTTCAATCAGTCATTAATAAGATGACCTTTACTTTCCTCTACCCTTCCTTGCTACACAAATTGCAGTGTGCTCTTCAGGGTTGCTGCAAAAGTCAAACTTTGCTTCAGCCTGAATTACTAGCCTCAAACTTTGGCTTTGTGGTTAATAAAGATACAGATGGATTTGCATCTTTAGGAGCAGTCATAACATTAATCTCTACACTAGCACTTACTTGAATAATGCTCATTGGAACAGAGTTGGTAATGTTGATAATCTCACTGGGTGAGGTACATCTGGCACTGGTAGTAGATAATGCTCCAACTGTTTCTATTAAATGAAGCGATTCTACTCTAGATAGAGATAGACTTAGACAGTGGTGAGTGCATAGTAGATGCAGAAAATAGCGGACTGCTACCTCTACTCTCTTGATTCCCCTCTTCCTCTGTGTCAGGATTACAAGTTGATCCAGCACGCAATACTGTGTCACACCTAGGACTAAGGATAACATATAACCGGGCCTTAGAAAGGCCAGACTTAACCTCTCCAATAATAGTCAAAATACTAGCCGAGGTCAGGGACACAGAATCAGACACAAAGATGAGGGAAAGCCAAAAGTCAAAGATACCATATATCAAGAAAGTCAAAACAAAGCTAAAGTAAAATCAAGATCAGGAATGCACTCTTGGATAACCATATGCATGAAACCACAACAGGGCAATGAGCAAAAGGAAAATTGTGTTTAAATACCCCTCCTGTGCATCCGATTGGCTGTAACCGGCCTTTGACCCCAAAGGCAATTACCACGTGTGCATGATTGCTGCTCAGCACAAATCCTCCTGTGGATTTGGTTGGCCATGACCGGCCTTTGACCCCAAAAGCAATTACCAGGTTTCCATGTGCTTGATTGCTGCTTAGCACAACTTTTCCTGTCAGGACAGTAATGTTGCCCGGCACAACTTTTCCTTTTTTAGTACAGTAAATGCCACTAACCATATTTTTATGTTTAGATGAATAAGTGACACTCTGTACCATAGTAAATTTCCCCATGGGATAGACTTTTACTTGAGTGATGGGGCAAAGAGCAATATTATTATCACCACATTCCTCACCACCACCAAGACTAGACCAGACATTGTGGACACTACGTTGGTACTCTGTTTTGCCTCTTCAGTAAAGAGTGACATTGATGACACCAATAAAATCTCTTCAGAGCACTCCCTTTATTGAGTCTAGTGGGGGAGGGAGGCTAGCAGAAAATGGCAATAAGTTGACTGGTTTCACCAACCCCTTATTTTGAGCATTATAAAGCTCAAAATAGCTGTGGTAGAAGGAGCTGCTATGGTAGTGGTAGCCATAGCAGAAGTAGAAGTAGACTCTTACTCAAATATATAATTAATATGTATAAAGCCAGAGAAACTCAGGGGGCCATTGGGAGAGGGACATTTCTGACACACAGCACTGTACTGCTTCTCACTAATAGTTTTAATAACTCCTACGGCATATACCCACAATCTTCTTTAAAGGGACACTGTGGGAACCCAGACCACTTCAGTCCATTGAAGTGGTCTGGGTGCCAACTACCATCACCCTTAACCCTGCAAGTGTAATTACTGCAGTTTTTATAAACTGCAATAATTACCTTGCAGGGTTAAGTCCTCCAGACAGCCACTAGAGGGACTTCCGGCTTCTTAGACAACTTTGCAGGACGCTTTGCATGAGGACCTCCAGGATCACCGGAAAACTCAAAGGAAAGCATTTAATAATGCTTTCTTATGGCAAGATCCTAATGCAAGTGTGGCCATTGCTGCGCATGCTCATTAGATCTCCCCGCCGACGTCTGAGGAGCTTAACCCAGAGCCGAGGGACATCAGCACATGATTCAGGTAAGGGACTGAAAGGGTTTTAACACCATTGACGATGTGGAATGGGGCGGGAGGAAGGAGGGCACTGCATGATTCTACAGTGCCAGGAAAACAAGTTTGTTTTCCTGGCACTAGAGAATCCCTTTAAAGTACACAGTCACTCTACAGCTGAGATCTGAGACACTCATGCTGTGGCTAGTTAAAAAGTGGTGACGCATCAAACTCCAGGACTGGCACTGTGACTCAGAGAACTGAGCTTATTCTAAATTTCAATATTTTTTTAATCTGTAATGATTGTTAATTAGGTTAACCATGTCAGCTACTTCCTGGCTCTATATTACCACTGCAGTATCTAGATGCTTTAACCATGTGCACACTGTGTGCTGAGAGTATAATTGAGTAGCTGACATATTTCATAACAGCAGCAATATTTAAAAGAATGCCAACATTATCATAGCAGGAGCTCTACTGAAGATGAGATCATGAAAAAGGGAGAGCTAAGAGACGGCTAGGAAGATATATAGAGAGAAAACTGGATAGACATGGGCTATTTGGGGTTCTCTGTATTGCAGCTCGGTGTAATCTATCTTAGTGATCCTGGCAATATGGGATATTTATGCATATCTCATATGCATATCATGGTGCCCAGATTGGTGTTTTATGGCTCTGTATTTTACTCAGCTCTGCCTTATGTATGGGTATCTCTGCGGTCTACCCAGCTATGAGTATTGTAAAGATATATTTGTATTGTGCCCAGCTCTGTGTATTATATCTCTATTTTTATGTGTTTGACATTTGTAAAACACTGTCCAGTGCTTTGCTACTCATATGCTTGCATAGCACATATTGGAATTGCACACACTCAGAAAAAAAAAAAAATATAGGAATTTCTTCAGTTAAACAATTAAAAAAAAAAAAAAAAATCTGTTAACTGTATATTAGTAAGCTAGTTTCATAAAGATATCATCAGGTAACCGTACCGACCTACTGATACATTGACACTGACGGCTAATCATACAATGTATAACCAGTGCCTTATCAGAGGCCTCACCTGACGACCAACACAGATAAGGGTAACGATAAGTAGCATGCCGATGGCATTCAGTTCCCGCCCGAAACCCGACAATTGTAACACGGGACACTGGATGAAGATGTACACGCCACCTATCTTGACACTAACAATGGCAAGACTATGTTTGTATGAAATAATGCATCCGTTTGTAAACCATGCTCTACCGAAACTTGGTACTATTCCTCCACGAAAATGTTTGTATTGAATTACTATGCAAAAAAAAAAAAAAAAAAACTCAATAAAGGATTTAAAAAAAATAAAAAAAAATAAGCTAGTTTCACACCAGGATCAATGATAAAATGCCTGCCAATCTCCTATTTCCCACTCAAAAATGATTCAAGTGCTTTTGGCCAAAGCTGCAAGCTAGATACAGAAGGAAACTAAAACTAGTCTCATACTAGAATCAATGACCCAGACTATCTCCCACACCCACACAGCCTCTTCTCCATTCCATCTCCTTTTTTTTCAGGTAATGACTCAGAATCAATAACTGCACTGAACTAAACTTGTTTGGGCTCATGCATGTCAGTTTCCTCGAGATTCTGACACATAGTGGCTCAGAATCCAGACTTTTGGGCGATCATCCAATCAGCCTGAATTTAGACAAAATTAAATTTGGCCTGAGACTAATTTCCAAATCTAATTATTTTTTATAACATTATTAAAGTTCTTTTATATAAAAAAAAGCTTTGGAAGTTCATTGCCAAGGATGTTTACAGAATTTTGACAGCTGATTGAGAGGCAACAGTGCCTCAGAGTGTGACACTATTGAATGTGATTATTATTTGATCATAGTGATCGAATTTTCTTTTACCTGGAAATTATGTTTAATCCTCTCTGGGGTGTAGCTTTTTGCCAGAACAACAATGCCTCTCTGAAGTAAATAGCGCATGGCTATTTGGGCCGGAGTCCTGCTGAGCTTTTTAGCAACTGCATTTAAAACAGGGTCCTCGAGGAGAACAGGAGAATTTGCATCTACCCTATAAGTGTTGAAAAAAAAAAATGTTTGAATGACTCACATCATGAATCTGTTTTGAGAGGTCAATGCTAAAGCAGTTACCTGGCAGCAACTCAGGTAATTATGTAGAAAATAGACCTCATTAAAGGTGAGCAATTGTGTTTGGTTAACATTCTGGAACAATCAATATATTATCTTGGATTGGACAGCATTTTATGTACTAAAAATTAAAAAGTTCATGCTATTTCCTTACCACTTTTCAGCCCTGCTGGACCCTAGAACACTGTATGCCACCAGCACAATATCCTTAGACTTGCAGAACTCGAGCAACTTGGCCTGATTCAGGTAGATGTGACATTCCACCTACAGATGAAACTTGTTAATTTAGATATATACACAAGATAATGATAGGCGTGTGAGGGGAACATTTCTTAATATAGTACAAAACTATAGTATTTTCAGGCATGCTTGCTTGGGCATTTCTTCCTTGATATTAACAGCTTGGCATATGATATAAAAAGGGACAATATATATATGTATATATCTCACAGCGCATACAATAATACAGCTCTTCAATAATACAGCACATTTTAATTATATTCTGATGGTGAACCTTCACTAAATAAACCAAGGAAGTTCCTCTATATAACCAACAATTTAACTCAGGTCAAATTATTGAAAAGTGAATTTGCTGCTTACTTACTTACTTACAACAGACTCAAACTAACCTTATTATTAAAGGAACACTATAGGGTCAGAAATATAAATGTGTATTCCTGACACTACAGTGTTAAAAACACTATTTTAGTGGACGACCCTCCAATACCCCCTTTAAAAGGTAATAAACTTACTTTTATTCCGGCACCGTGTGGGTATACCCACGCTGCCTCTGCCCCTGATCCACCTCTATGGCTGAGATAATCAGAATTGACAATCTCACCCATTCCAATGATTTCCCATAGGAATGCATTGGATGGGCTGAGATTAGGGGGGTAGTTTAAACGCCTTTCTTGCCAGTCAACATCTCCTCATCAATCAATGCATCTCTTTGGGGAACGTTTGGTGCCTCCATGCAGTGCGTGGAGATGCTGAACGTGCAGCACTAACCCAGAAATCACCACTAGTGGCCGTCTGAGTGACAACCACTGGAGGTGTCCATAGGGAGTGCTGCAAAGGCAGTGTTTGCATGGAAATGACTGCAGGGACATACTATACTCACCAGAAAACTATATTAAGCTGTTGTTCTGGTGACTATAGTGAGTGTCCATTTAAAAAAAATTAAAGAGCAGTTTAAACTATGGCATTATTGAATGAACGCTGACATTAGTTTCTTGCACGGTACAGTGTAGTCCCAAGTGCAAACAACCCAACCACTTTATTTTCAGATGTTAAAGCATATTTAGGAAACGGAGACCACTGTAGCAATAGGAGAAGGAAGTTATCAAGGAAATAGTTATTACCTGGTTACAAACTGGTTTGTGCTTTAGTCCTGGCTTATTTAGAATTAATTCGAGCTGCCTTTTATTAAAATTTGACACCCCAATAGATCTAACCAGTCCTGCATCTTTACAATCCTCCAAAGCCTATAAAACAGAAAGAATAGTAAATGCATGGAATTTATACAACCAGGTGATCCTCTTAATGAGGAAATGTATGTATAGCGCTTAAAAAAAAAAAAATATTTAATTGGTGAACAAAGCAGCACTGAAACATCTGAGTGGGAATAACCCCTCCCCACATCTAAATAACAAAATACAAAAGTGTTACATAGGTTATCAGCCTATATGTGAACTGGAGTGCTTAGAAGATACAAAAATAAGGATAAAAGTGTAAATTGAGGAATAAAAAAAAAAAGTGTAAAGTTTTTTTTTTTTTTTCGTTCTTCCTCATATTTGGAGTACTTCTATCCTTATCCAAGGAGATTTGCGATGCTGCCTTTAAGAGCATACCGGCACTACTAACTGAGCCAGTTTCTTACAGGCTCATGACCATGTAAGTTGTTATAATTATCATCCATAAAACAAAAAGATTCAGAACCACTTTTCTAAGTTCCATTTTTTTTTCTATAGCTCCTGCATTATTACACCAAAGAGGGGTAAACTATACATGCATGCATGCTTATTTTTTTTTCTTGTAAGCACTCCACTTCACATATATGCTGATAACCTATATAACACTTGTTAAAATGCATGGAATTACCTTTCAGTAAAGGGATAGAGAAATAAAGTGAATTAATCTTAAGAATCAAAATAATTATGATCCTGTTTAGAGGGCTTTCATATATATATATATATATATATATATATATATTATACTTTATTAAAAAAACATACAACTAATTTTACAATTATAGGTGCATTAGAAAAACCTCTAACCATGTCTGAACCATTTTACTTATTCAAATAAGATTAAAATAAATGTTGAGGGGGTGGAGGCAGCGCCCGATCGAGCAGGACGCATTACTGTGCAGCTCCATAAGCTTGCCCCGACTAACAAGGCTTTTTGTAGCCAATTACTTACTCACAAGGGTCCAGTGGGGCTCCATGGACTCCTTAACCCACGAGGGAAAACAAATTAAAAGCACCGGGCGGATTTGGGCTCCGGTTCCAGAGACATTGGTGCGTACATGCAGCCAACCGAGCGGTCAGCACCTTCCAAGATGCGCCGGCTTGGGCCTACTTCTCTGCTTCGTCGGAAGACGACAGCCTCCAGGACCTGCCTCTAGCCCCATTCCAGGTACGCTCTGTATCCCGGGCACCTCTGGAGGAGGGTGACTCTGCCCCCTCTACTAAAGCAGACATACAAGCATTGAGGCAGGACATTAAAGCCATGTTCCAGGCAGATATGGCCCTAGTTCAGGAAGACGTCACAACACTTACTGGCAGAGTGGAAGCGATGGAGGGAGACAGGTGGCACCAAACTGGCACAATCTGCCACAGATGCTGCTCTTGGTTCACTACAAAAGAGAAGTGACGATTTGAGAGCACAACAGGCTAGCATGGAAGACAGGGCTAAAGCACCCCGACACCATCTTAAATGCTGAACTACCCCATTACTGCAGGAGGCTTATTGCCACACTCCTGCCGCCAAAACAGGCAAAACAGCTTGTGGTGGATACTTGTTTCCGTTTCCCAAAGATGCAACTATGGATGTATTGCTGAAGTTTGCAAAGGACTCAGACCAAGGGATGCTCAAGGGCGCTGTTAAAAGCTGTCCCACAATACCCTTTGAGGGAGCACACCTAGTCTTTTACAGATACTTTTTCTAGAGGTACCCTCATCTGGCAGAGTGCGCTCCGACCAGTTACACAACTGAGAGAACACTCTATCCCCTACAAGTGGGCCCTGCACCGATTGATGGCGGACAGGAACGACCAGACGCCTCTCCTGACACACATTTCAGAGGCAACGAGGTTCCTCCACTCCTTTGGTTTACCGATGGGGACCGCGAAGAAGAACGCACAATCATCCTGGACGGTGGAGAGAATCACCCCCTTTGTGCCTAGACGGGCAGCACCAGAGACTACTGACTCTCCTACCTGATGCCAAGGGTGGCTGACACTACTGTTAAATGCATTATGGTTTACTTTTTCATACTTAGGTGTTGGACTTTAAGTCTCCCAAGCACTCTGGCTCTGTAAGCATTTGACGTGCATACTGCCCAGTTGTGAACCCCCCCATAAGCCAGACTGAATGTGCCAAGATGCCCCTTTCTTGCAGTACATGTTCCCTCACACGTTCAGTCTCGGAGCCTTTACTACATACTCTCCTGGCCGGAGCCGGCCAAAGTTACGAGTAGCTCACATGCAGAAAGCGAACGCATATCGGTGCCAACACGCAGTCGGCACGTTGCTTTGTCAAACTGCAGGCACACAAAGCCTTGTACCTGTCCCCCTGATTCACTGTTATAGCTATTGACTATAGACACGCAGGGTCTCACAGTTAATATATGTAAAAAAAAAAAAAACACAACAGGTCGTTACTATACTTGTGGAGTGATTGTCGCACCACTCATGTAAGCATTGATATTTTCGCTTTACAGTTGTGATATGCTCAGACCACAAAAATAAAGAATTTAAATAAAATAAATGTCAAGGAAATCAAGATCAAAAAAGAAAGAAAAAACAAAGAAAGGCAGACCCATTGCTAGGGATCTGGTAGTTATTGAGAGTGACTTGCGGAGTTAGCATCTGTAGATAGAACATTATGTGGGGTGTCATTTTCAGAATTAATTCAATAAGTAGAGCACTTAAATATAAAATATTACAATAGAAAGTAATATAAAAAAATAAAGCAATTTGCTCAAATAACGTTTACCACTTCCTCAACTTATCTGCCAAAATGAATGAGAAATACTGATCCAAATTCACACAGCAATAAAGAGAGATGAAAACAAACAAAATATGTGAAAAGACAAAGTATATTTTAAACAAAATAGCTACACAGTCTTCCGCATGAGAGAACCCTGGCTTGGCTTGCATAGTCATATGTTGCATTACTAATTTGTTTTGTAGGTTATAACTATTATAAGGTATTTAGGTTTTTGTAAATTGTTGTATTGTATTTATTGATATAGAAAGCTATTCTGCATTTTTAATTACCAGATAAAGCTGGCCACCCATGCTGCTAATCAAAATTCCATCACAAAAATGTGCTCTTTTATACTGGTTTTGTCAACTATTTCAAACTTAGACATCATCTAGGTATGATATTTATTTGAACTTCACAGTCTCTACCCACATGATACACAGTCTGTTGATTAAATATTCCTACCTTCCACGTATCTCGAATGTCTGTGTTGTTATAAATAGCTTTTCCATTTTCATCAGTTGGAAAATGATCATCTCCAGGCTAAAGAATGAAAATAATATAATTATACTATTTAATTAAACAGATAATTTATATGGCTCTGATTCTCACATATCTCTTTAACCCGTTAAGGACACATGCCATGTATGACATGTCATGATTCCCTTTTATTCCAGAAAATTGGTCCTTAAGGGGCTAAAGGTCAGGAGCCACTCAAAATCGTATTCACAGAATCATTGGGTTCAGGGATAGCGTGGGCTTAAAATTTTGTGTCACATTGAATATTTCATTTTTAAGAGGAGTTAAACCTAGGGTTAAGGTAAAGGAGTTTTTATTTCCAGGTTTAGGCTTTGAGTGCTGGAATTTGTACAGTGTACAGGCATGTGAAGTCTGGTTATTTGTAAAGCACTCACTCTCATTTGATTGATAGCAGAACTGTTGTTGTTATACAGTGCATATCACTCCTGCAAGGCATTTTCCTGTGTGAGACGTGGTTAGTGAGCAGATGGAAAATGATCCCCTGCCTTACACACAGACACTGGAGGCAGTGGTGTCTCTAGGATTCATTTTTAGGTGGGGCACATGGTGGGCCAGGGACAAAAGTAGGGGGGCACATTTAAACCCGCCCTCACCGCAGTTTGATCCCGCCCCTGCCGCATGTTAAGCCCCACCCCCGACACAATGTGTGTTTTTTTTTTATTTTTATAATCCCTGGTGGAGAATTCATTATTTTCCACCAAGGATTATAAAAAACAAACACATTTCCCTTGATACAGTCCATACACACACAGCCTGCTGAGTTCATACACACACAGACTGCTGAGTCCATACACACACAAACTGCTGAGTCCATACAAATACAGACCTATAGACTGCTGAGTCCACACACACACACACCCACAGACTGCTGAGTCCATACACACACACACACAGACTGCTGAGTCCATACAAACACAGACACAGACTGCTGAGTCCATACAAACACAGACACAGACTGCTGAGTGTGAAGAAAATAGACCTCCTGGCTCATTAACTACAAAGGAACCGTCTATTAAGTGCTCCCTGGGCGGCCGCTGTTCGTATAGCAGAACACCAAGTGGAATAGAAAACGGCGGCCATCTTGTTTGTACGAGGGGAGTCAGCTGGACTTGGTCGTCGAGTGTCTGGAACTAAAATCGGACACTTGACCTCCCGAACCACCGCTGAAACTACCGAAGCCTGCTTCCTTTAGTTGCCGAACAGCCAGGAGAGCACCATTCGGTAGTTCTGTGCTTACGGACAAGGGGAGCAATCGCTCCTATGAGCCAGGAGGATCCATTCAGGACTTTGTTCATTTTTTTACCTTTTTCTGAATTGACCGACCACACACGCTGAATTCGTGGAACTGTTTTGGGCAGGAGCCGCATGTGTGGTCGGTAAAATGTGTCCTCCATACTTTTTAAGAACCCCTGAACCGATCTGGGTGAAATTTGGATATGTTTGTCCCCCAGATCGGGGCTATCAGGGGATATGTAATTTGTGGGGATACCTTGTGTGGAAAGGGGTGTTCTAAGTTTTGGGGAAATTGCATGCCCTCTGCCTGGAGATAATTGATTTATTCCTTAACTTATCTCAATATCTCCCAGGAGAGAGAAGGCAGGTATTACTGGAAAACTGTATGGTGATTGGTTATTGTCTTTGTTTGCTCTGGGAGGTTCTCTTGCAGGCGGAGTTCTCATAAATGCCAGTGTGTTTTCAATAAAGATCATTCCTGTTACACCCTTCATGAAGTCTAGGCTCATGTTTGGTGGATATTCTATTTGCTGGGGAAGAATCATCTTGGAACTGCATTCATCTACCCTATTCCTCTACTCCCTGCTGCAGCTATAATCACTTATGCTCAGCTGTTGGGAAAAGGAACAGAAAACCGCAGCACCATAACCACTGTAGGTCTTAACACTGAGTCCCTACACACACAGACTGCTGAGTCCATACACACACACACACACACAGAGACTGCTGAGTCCATACACACACACAGACTGCTGAGTCCATACACACACACACACACAGACTGCTGAGTCCACACACACACACACAGACTGCTGAGTCCACACACACACACACAGACTGCTGAGTCCACACACACACAGACTGCTGAGTCCATACAAACACAGACACATAGACTGCTGAGTCCATACAAACACAGACACATAGACTGCTGAGTCCATACACACACACAGACTGCTGAGTCCACACACACACACACAGACTGCTGAGTCCACACACACACACACACACACAGACTGCTGAGTCCACACACACACAGACTGCTGAGTCCATACAAACACAGACACATAGACTGCTGAGTCCCCACCCCACACACACACAGACTGCTGAGTCCATACACACACACACACACGACTGCTGAGTCCATACAAACACAGACACATAGACTGAGTCCCCACCCCACACACACACAGACTGCTGAGTCCATACACACACACACACACAGACTGCTGAGTCCATACACACACACACAGACTGCTGAGTCCACACACACAGACTGCTGAGTCCACACACACACACTGCTGAGTCCATACAAACACAGACACATAGACTGCTGAGTCCCTACACACACCCAGACAGCTGAGTCCATACACACACACACACACAGACAGCTGAGTCCATACACACACACACACACAGACAGCTGAGTCCATACACACACACAGACTGCTGAGTTAATACACACACACACACTCACTGCTGAGTCAATACACACACAAACACACAGACTGCTGAGTCCATACACACACAAACACACAGACTGCTGAGTTCATACACACACACACACACACACACACACACGCACTGCTGAGTCCACACACAGACACTGCTGAGTCCATACACACACACACACAGACACACAAGCTTCCTCACTAGCAGACAGACAGACACAGACACCTGATGATATCAAGCCTACCTGTTGCTGGGGGTCAGACAGCCATCTTCTTGCCTTTCCAGCAGCAGCATGGTCTGCTGCTTAACAGCGGGAGGCGGGGCTTCGTTTGGGGGCGGGGCCTGTGCCGAGGAGCCTGCCAGTGCTCCCTCTGGCCACAGACAGCCCCCAGCACCGTTCCAGCTGAGCTCCTCTGCCCTGCATTCCCTCCCCCGGGCTGTAACACACTGTTACAGCCCGAGGGAATAGAATGTAAGAACATTGCCAGCAAGTTGCTGGCATTTGGGGGGGCACAACATGATGTAGGGGGGGCCATGGCCCCCTCTGGCCCCCCCCCCCCTAGCGACGCCACTGAGTCTGGAGGAGCTGGGACAGCACTGAATGTAACACCCTCTATAACTATTCCCGCAGCTCTGTTATCAAGCCTTGGAGGCTGACTAGACTACATGGAAAACTGGCCAAGGCTCCTGGCACTTATCTACCCTCAACAGCCCACCTATGTTTTGGGAAAAATATTATGATTATGTATCTCTGGGATTGATTTAAGAGAGTGTGTGTATATATGTGTTAACACGTATATGTTACTTTGGGGCTATAGCCGTGAGAGATCGTAGTACAAGACTTATCTGGACAAGGGGATAAAATTCTATGTTAGTTCTTTGAAGAGTTGACACAAGGATACTGCATTCATTATTATTACATAACTCAGACTGAGTTACTTTCAAGGGATACCAAATGGAAGTATTGGAAGTGAGAGAGGAATTATACAACATAATTGGTACAGTGACTTTGGCCAGAAGGACTTTTTTTCTCAATCTGCCTAGGAGTCAAGCTTGATGTAGTGGTTATGGTACTTGGAGTGTTCCTTTAAGTGGTTAACAAGGTTGGACATTTTAAATCATAAAATGCATTAACAAAATTTTAATTCAAATTGATAGTCATCAGACAAGCAAACCTTGAGTTCTACAGGTGAGTGAATAATGAACAAATCCAAATAGTCAAATTCAAGTGATTTCAGGGATTTTTCAACAGCTGGGCGAACCAGTTCTGGGGTTTGGAATGTGCTCCACAGCTGAAAAGGCAAATTGTGAAAAGTTACAATAAAATATACTATAGATAAAATAATAATAATAATAAAAAAAAATATTACATGGTTATTAAATTGTATCTTAATTTTTTTTAAATAAATAAATAATGGGTATAACTGCCAATATCAAATTAGTCATATAAACTAAAACTGCTGATACACTAGATTTACAGAGCATAACAATTGCTATAATACAATTTCAAATGCATAATTTGTTATTGAGTGACCCCACACCCAATATCCTCAACCTAACCCTCGCAACTTAGAAGGAATCTATATTGTCTTGACCTCCAGCAACCCTCAGCTGATCTCCATTCCAAACTCTCATCCATCCCTACCTTCTCCTGTCCCTCTCTCGCTATCTCTCCATATAATGCTACCCTCACCTCTGCCCTAGACGCTGCAACCCTGCTCCAAGCATGCTCCTCAAGGAGGGCGCGCATCCAACCGTGACACACTAAGTCAACCCTCTACCTGCAGAGATGCTTGCACCTTGTCAGACTTTCTACACTATAAATTTGTCTTGCACTCATACAGTGCAGCCCTCACCCTTGCTAAACCGTCCTACTTTTCTTTTCTCATTAGTTCATGCTCTCGCAATCCTAGGCATCTCTTTAACCTCTTCTCTTTGATGTGGGTTTTTATGAGGTTTTATTTTTGTTTTTTATTTTCTTTATTTTTTATTTATTATTTTTCATTTTTCATATTTATTTTTATGAAGACTTTTTAAGCTTCTCTTTTTTCTTTTTTTGTGAGTTCATGTGCATCCCATTTTTAGAAGTTCCATTGACTTTTCGATTTGAAGTGGAACGCATTTGCGTTCCAAAGAGAGTGATTTTTCCTTCTGGACCTGTGACAACTTCCGGTGGCGCCCGGTAATGACGTAACTCAAGCGCTCCGAATGCGGACCGGTGGTCTTTTCCGGCACTACTGAGAGTGAGGCTTGGGACGCAAGCGCTTTCAAGAAGCGCGAAAAGGGAACGGAATGAGATAGAAGAAATTACTTTCAGGTGGACTTAATTAGAAGTTTTGTTTTGTGATTGGTTAAAGGTTTTTTCATGGCAGGGTATTTAAATGTAATTGTATGTGTATTGTGTATTGTTGCCAGGAGCCCCTGACGGAGTCTTCTAGACGAAATGCGTAGGATGGCAAGCTTTATTTCACGACTTGTAAATTCTTTTATTTTGGACTCTTTTCATTCATTTTGTCTCCTTCCTTTGGCGTTTAACTTGTTCTGGATGGCAGACAGCGGATGTGATTTGAATTGATGAGCCCTTTTACTTCTTTTATTTTGTAAGTGCATATAATAAAGCAATTTTTCGAATACCATACAGCTATACACTATGTTTTTTTTCTGTGCTTTGTTCTATGTACTCATCTTTACACACAAGAAAAAGAAGAAGCACTTGAAGAAGACTGATTATACCCTGCCTTTTTACTTCTGTGTTTGTGAGTGTTTTATAGTTCCCCTTTTTATAGTATTTAGTTTTTTCTGTCTGCACTATTGGTCTCCCTTTGTATTTATGGTTTTATCTCTTTAACCCCTTAAGGACCAAACTTCTGGCATAAAAGGGAATCGTGACATGTTACACATGTCATGTGTCCTTAAGGGGTTAATACTTTTAACTCTTCGTCGCCCTGCTGTGACCACCCTACAAACTAATCTTTCAGCTGATAGCTTTACATGTTACTTTACTGAACAGATTACATAGTTACATAGTTACATAGCTGAAAAGAGACTTGCGTCCATCAAGTTCAGCCTTCCTCACAAATGTTGTTGCTGTTGATCCAAAAGAAGGCAAAAAACCTGGTCTGAAGCACTTCCAATTTTGCCACAAACTAGGAAAAAATTCCTTCTTGACCCCAAAATAGCAGTCAGATGTCTCCTTGGATCAAGCAGCTATTACCCCACTAATTAGAAATTATATCCCTGTATGTTATGTTTTTGTAAGTATTTATCCAATTTCAGTTTAAACATCTGTATGGACTCTGACAAAACCACCTCTTCAGGCAGAGAATTCCATATCCTTATTGTTCTTACTGTAAAAAAACCTTTTCTTTGCCTTAGATGAAATCTCCTTTCTTCCAGCCTAAATGTGTGACCTCGTGTCCTATGTATAACCCTGTTTATGAATAGATTTCCAGATAAAGGTTTGTACTGGCCCCGAATATATTTGTATAAAGTTATCATATCCCCTCTCAGGCGCCGTTTTTCCAAACTAAACAGATTTAATTTTTTTAACCTTTCTTCATAACTAAAATGCTCCATTCCTTTTATCAATTTTGTAGCTCGTCTCTGGACCCTCTCCAGTGCCATGATATCCTTCTTTAGAACAGGCGCCCAAAATTGCACAGCATATTCAAGGTGTGGTCTTACCAGCGATTTATAAAGAGGCAAAATTATATTTTCATCCCGAGAATTTATGCCCCTATTTATACATGACAAAATCTTACTGGCCTTAGCAACTGCAGATTGACATTGCATATTGCTGCCTAATTTGTTGTCTATAACAATTCCCAAATCCTTCTCGTGTGTGGTTATCCCTAATTCACTACCATTTAGTGTGTAAGTTGCTTGTGCATTCTTAACCCCGAAGTGCATAACTTTGCATTTCTCTATGTTAAATTTCATCTGCCATTTTAGTGCCCAGTCCCCCAATCTATCCAAATCTCTCTGCAGCAAAGCAATATCCTGCTCACATTTTATTACTTTACAAAGTTTTGTGTCATCTGCAAACACTGATACATGGCTTTCAATGCCTATTTCAAGATCATTTATAAATATGTTAAATAGAAGTGGTCCCAAAACAGAACCCTGAGGGACACCACTTACCACTTTTGTCCAGCCTGAAAATTTACCATTAATTACAACTCGTTGTACTCTGTCCTTAAGCCAATGTTCTACCCAAGAACAGGAATATTCATCTAGACCAATTTCTTTTAGTTTGAAGACTAACCTATTGTGAGGAACCGTATCAAATGCCTTGGCAAAGTCCAAGTAGATCACATCCACTGCAACACCCTGATCTATACTTCTACTTACTTCTTCGTAGAATGCAATTAGGTTAGTTTGACATGACCTATGTTTCATAAAACCATGCTGATTATTGCTAATAACAAAGTTCTTCCCAATGAACTCCTGAATATTATCCCTTAATAGCCCTTCAAATATTTTCCCAGTTACAGATGTTAAGCTCACAGGTCTATAATTTCCAGGCAAGGATTTTGAACCCTTTTTAAATATAGGAACAACATCTGCCTTCCTCCAATCCTCCGGTACAACACCTGAAACAAAAGAATCTTGAAAAATTAAATACAGAGGTTCACTTATTTCCCCACTTAGCTCCTTAAGTACTCGTGGGTGAATACAGTCAGGTCCCGGAGCTTTATTTACATTAATTTTCTTTAATAGCTGTAGCACCTTGTCTCGAGTTATCCAGTCACAAGTTATCTGCAAGTTTTTTGCAGCAAACATTTGCATATCTCTTGCCATAGGATCCTCATAAATATATACTGAAGAAAAATAGTTATTTAAAATTTCTGCTTTTTCCTGGTCTTCATTAGCTAATAAACCCAACTGTTTCAAGTGTACCTACACTTTCATTTTTTGTTTTTTTAGAATTGATGTACTTGAAAAAATTTTTGGGGTTGGTTTTGCATTCTTTAGCTATCAATTTCTCATTTTCTAGTTTAGCCACTTTAATTGCCTTTTTGCAAGTGTTATTGGCTTCCTTATATCTTAAATAGGATGCCTTTGATTTGTCTGATTTAAATGCTTTAAATGCCCTTTTCTTATTTTTAATCTCTTGTTTTACTTCTCTACTAAGCCACATTGGTTTTAATTTGTTTCTTTTATATTTATTACCCAATGGTACATACTGAGAAATGTACCTTTCTAATATATGTTTGAATAGTTTCCATTTATCCTCAGTGTTTTTATCACTAAGGAGTTTATGCCAGTCGATATGTTGTAGAGCTGCCCTAATCTTATTGAAATTGGCTTTTTTAAAATTATATGTTTTAGTATACCCCACCTGCTTTTGCTTTTTTGAGTTTATTTCAAAATTTACCATATTGTGATCACTATTTCCCAAATGCTCCCCTACTTGAATGTTGGTTAAAAGATCAACATTGTTTGTTATGACAAGATCCAGACAAGCATCCTTTCTAGTTGGTGCTTGTACCAGTTGTGACATAAAGGTGTCATTTAACACATTCAAAAACCTGATTCCCCTTGCTGAAGTACTAGTCCCTCTTTCCCAATTTATGTCTGGATAATTAAAATCTCCAATAATTAACGTGTTACCTCGATTTGCAGCTTTCTCAATTTGCTCTAACAGCTGTTCTTCCTCATTAATATTTACATTAGGTGGTTTATAACATATCCCAACCAATAATTGATTTCCCTTTGTTTTCCCCAAGCAGATATCTACCCATAAAGCCTCCACCTTTTCCTCGTCACACTCCACATGCCTAAGATTTGACTTTAACTCACGGTTGACATATAAACATACCCCACCACCCTTCTTGTTTTTCCTATCCTTCCTAAATAACGTGTACCCATTAAACAGTTAAGGAATTAATTCCCCCTCCTTCACACCTCTCTAACTCAACCTCACTTGTACCATACCACCCCTACTCTCCAAGACTTCGCTCCAGCTACTGAACCGGAGGTGGCTGCACTTCTCCTCTCCTCTCGTCCCACCACCTGTCTGCTTGATCCAGGACTTTCCTACCTCATCAGAGCTCTCACCCCTTGTCTTGAACCATCCTTAACACACATCCTAAACTGCTCTCTTTCATCTGGTATTATCCCTTCTCCCCTTAAGCATGCTACCGTCATACCCATCCTAAAAAAAAAAAGCCATCCCTAGGCCAGTCGTCCATGTCAAACTATGCTTCCTTTTTCCTCAAAGCTTCTAGAAAGACTTGTCTTTACTTGTATGACTCACTTCCTAAATTACAACTCCCTCCTCGATGTGGCGAAAGTAACCTCGCCACTGGTTTTTGGAGGGGCCGGTTTGCCAGCCTCCTGCCCTGCAACTATGGCCCTTTAAGAACCGTCTGTGGGCACATTGTGACTTTGGTGAACAATGTCCCTTTAAGACTATGGCCCCTGGAAGATATTGCCTGTTAAAGACTATTTTGGCAGATTGGATTTTAAAATGACTTTTGCTGCCCCTTTAAGTTGTATTGGAGCAGTTCTGCAGCTTTAAATTGGCACTTCAGATGCAGCCGAAGTACTTGAAGTGGCCGCCATTCGACAAACGAACACGTGGCGGCGGCCATCTTTGTTAATTTAAACGAGGTCAGCGGTATGTGTAGCCAAATCCATGGAACTGAAATCGGCTACACATTTCAACGAACACCGCTGACCCTTACCTTCTCCTACACTCCGTTTTCAGCTGCAGAGACTAAGTCCCGTTCGAAGATTCGAATGCACATTCGAATGGGACTTAGTCATTTTTTCAGTGTGAAATTGACCGACTGCACAGCCCAAATCTATGGAACTGTTTTGGGCAGGAAAATGTGCCTGCTGTCGGTCACAAAGGACTTCCGACTAACTTTTGAACTAATGGAAGGATTTGCATGATTTTTGAGTATGTTTATATTTCAAGTATGCTGATTAATAATATGCAGTTTTTATTGGATGTATATTTTGAAAGTTATAGTACATATATAAAAACTGTATTTTTCCTGCCTGTATTAATTATGTTAAGCATTGTGTGCCATAATTGGATCACAGGCGGAGGGGAGGATTTTTGTGGGTAATTGCTGGGAGTGTTTCTGTAATGTAAGTTTATGATTGGTTGTTGTGTAAAACCCTGTGGGTGGTCCTATGTAGGGAAAACTTGCATAAAAGAAGGCCCTTTGGTGCCAAGTAATAGAGTTCTTCTTCACCCTCAATCTAGAGGGTCCTGTCTCTTATTGGAGGAATTGCAATGCATTGCATGCTCCCTTGGATAATCACTTCTAAGCTCTTTTAAGATCTTGTTCCTGTTTCCTTCTCTTAGAGAAGAGGTTCACCCACTGGAACCTGGAGCCTTGTCGTAGGTCCAGGGTGGGTATGAGATGGCGAGACCCCAACCAAGCTGCGGCGAGTCATGGGTCTGCAGTGGTTGTGGTGTCTGTGGAGCGCTTGGAGCCCTCTGTAAGCGTTAGGAGCATCCTTCAACTGAGGTACCCAGTCGGGGTGCCAGGTGATCTGTTACACTCGATCCTCTTCAATCTGGCTTTCTCCCCCTCCACTCTACTGAGACTGCTCTTATTAAAGTTACAAATCACCTAATCCCAGCCAAATCCACTACTCCATACTAATTCTTCTTGACCTCTCTGCTGTCTCTGACACTGTTGATCATGGCCTCCTTTTCCTAACGCTACAATCTTTTGGTCTCTGTGACACAGTCCTCTCATGGTTCTCCTCCTATCTCTCCCAACGCTCCTTTAGTGTCTCTTTTTCCAACAGCACCTCCTCTCCTCATCCTGTCTCAGTCAGAGTCCCTCAATGTTCAGATCTTGGTCCTCTTTTGTTCTTTCTCTATACTGCCTCTCTTGGCAAACTCATTAATTCATTTTGATTCTACCACCACCTGTATGCTGACGACACCCAGATATATCTCTCCTCCCCTGACCTCTCCCCTGCTGTCCTACAGCGTTTCACCAATTGCCTTTCTTCTATCTCTGATTGGATGTCCTTCCTCCCGCTTTCTGAAGCTCAATCTCTCTAAAACTGATTTTCTTATTTTTCTTCCTCATAACAATGATCCTCCTCCTTCACTCTCCCTGCAGGATGACGGTACCTGACTCACCCCATCATTTCAAGCTCCCAGACTTGGTGTCACTTGATCCTCACCTTTGCGCCTAATGTTCAGTCAATTCCAACTTCCCTAAACATTGCCTGCATACGCCCATTTCTTACTCAAGATGCTGCCAAGGAGTTTGTTCATGCTCTTGTAATCTCTTGCATTGATTACTGTAATTCTTTCCTAATTGGTCTACCCAGAAGCCGTACTGCCCCCCTACAATCTGTGGTGAATGGTGCTGCCAGGTTGATCTTTCTCTCCTGTCGCTCCTCTCACACCTCATCTCTCTGATAATCCTTACACTGGCTTCCTGTAACCTAAAGGTGTAAATGTAATATACTAACCTTTACCTATAAAGCTCTAACCAAGTCTAGCCCCTCTTACATTTCTTCATAGGTATGCCCTCTCTCTGTCTCTCCGCTCTACTGGTGACCTTCTCCTGTCTGCTGTTCGCACCCTTACTGCAAATTCACACCTAAAAGACTTCTCATGGGCGGCTCCTTTCCTTTGTAACAGCCTGCCTACCCCTGTCAGGCTCTCCCCTAGTCTTTAATCCTTTTAATAAGTCCCTCAAAACCCATCTTTTCAGGAATGCTTATGGCCTCCAAGAGTAACTTCTGTCAAACCTTCCTCTTGCTCTCTCCTAAAGGGCCACACTCCACTCTCACCTCCAGTTCTGCTACTTTCCCACATGTCTATTTGCTGTCTATCTCAGTACCCTGTGTTTTTATACCCCACCTCCTCTAGACTATAAGCTCGTTTGAGCACGGTCCTCAACTACCTATTGTTCCTGTTACAGTTTGTTATTGTCTCATTTGGTGAATTCCCCTTTTATTGTAAAGTGCTGTGGAATAAGCTGGCACTATATAAATACTACTACTACTACTACTACTACTACTAATAATAATAATAATAATAATGTACATGCCAAAACAAAATCAGTTACCTTTCCAGTGTAGAATAGGTCTTCTCTCTTGACTGTCCCATCTGCAATCTTTGCCCTTATAGCACGGCCGACCTCAACCTCGTTACCATATATAAAAGCACCATCAATGTGACGATACCCAACTTCAATGGCCACCTTTGTACTTTCTTCTGCTAGGCTTTTGGGATACTAAAATGAAAGAAACATTTAAATTTGGCTTTCTTTTTCATAGTGTTGTGAAAAGTTTCTGGCTGCACCTACTGAAATCAGTCAGTTCCTAAGTAATGGCTAATGGCCCCCATAATTCTGTATGGGAGGCTTTGGCTGCTATTTATTGATTTAAAAGGGACATTCAAAGGGGACTATCCAAACACAAAATACACAAAAAATGCTGTTTAGTAGATATACCCCAAACTAAAACTTGCATGCATTTTTTTTTATTGGGGTTATATCTAAAACAGCTTGCAAAACTGCTGCAGTTCTCTTGTCTGCTGGCTTTTAACCCCGCCCAGACTTTCTGTGGCTGTCCAATCACAGACTTCCCAATGATAACTCTTGCAAGGTAGGTGCTCTGGGTAATTGCTACCTCTTGAGTTTATCTCCACTGAGCTTACCAAACCAGTAGGTAGCAGGACATGCTGTCTGCTTGAAAGCAAGGAGGGTGTAACCAGGTTGTTTTTATAAAAGTGCTAATTTCTATCTGCACTTGTTGCAAAATCCAAAACAAGAGGACACACTTTTCAGCAAGCTAAAGTGTTTAGGGGACTGGACTGGCCCTTTAATGTGTGACTGGTTTATAACCCTGTCACTACTCATTAATGGCTGCCACTAGCTAAAACTTAACGCTAGGCTTAGGTCTCAGCTGTCAATGAGAGCTAAATCTCTATATATTCTATTGAAACAAACAAACAAACAAAAAAAAATTACAACCCTGTCACAACATTTTACTAGCCAGCAGCTACTTTCCTGTCATGTGTTATGTACATTAGCAACAAACCACTAATATGGTGATTGGTATGTTTAGCGGCAGGGCCGGTGCAAGGATTTTTGGGTACATAGACGAAGATGCATTTTTCTGCCACCCCCCCAAAAAAATCTTCACCTATGTGCCTCTTAACCGCCCCCGTCCATTAGTGGTCTCCTCCCTTCCCTGTCCCTTAGTGTTCTCCCCCCCCCTTTTTCCCTGTCCCTTGGTGATTCTCTCCCATTCCCTCCCTGTTCCTTGGTGCACCCCCCACCCCTTTAGTGGTCACACTCCCCCTCCTGGTGTGCCTCCTACCTCTCTTGTAGCATTGCCAAGCGGAACAGATCCCCTACAAGAGCTTCAGTTTTCTGTTCCTGGCCGGGCTGACTGTCAGTGAGCACCTCCTGTCAGTCTAGCTGGGTACAGGAAACAGAAGCTCCTGTACCGCGCTCCGCTCTGCCACGCTACACTCAGTGGTGTATACACACTGACAGTCACAGACTCAATGACAAACCCACAGACGTCACTGACAGACACAGACTCATTGATCTGACACACACACACACACACACACTGACAGACACACACTGATTGACACTCATTGACAGACACACTGATAGTCACACACAGACTCAATGACAAACATCCTCTCACTGATTTGATAGACACTCACAAATACACACTGACAGACACTCACATGCACACACATCACTCAGACACACACACACTCACTCATCACGTACATTCACTAATTATTATTTTTATAAATAAGCATTCTCCACCCAGCCTACCTACCTGGAGAGCTGGTGTGGATGATGGGTTTTCCCTGGGGTCTAGTGGGGCTGCTGGGCGGCGTGCGGCAGTGGTAAGATCAGAGGCGGTGAGGGAGCTCTAATCTCCCCGCTCTGCTCCCTCGCAGGCTGTCTACTGATGCCGGCCCTGTTTAGCGGTAACTATTATTAGCAATAGGCTACAAAAATTTAGCAACAAGATTGCAAATACGATGGTAATTTATAGCTTCTACTAGCGGATATTTCTATTACAGCTATTTACCAAAACGTTTTTAAACAAGCCAAAAATTGGCACAATTCTTTCTTCCTAGCTCCTCTCCTGGTATATGGTTGTTGGTAGAGGACTAAATTAAAAGGTGGCAGTCATGGGCGTGCGCTGCCTATTGCATTAGGGTGTGCACCCTAAAGCACAAACACACGCCGCATATATATATATATACACACACACACACACACCCTACAAGAGCTTCAGTTTTCTGTTCCTGGCCGGGCTGACTGTCAGTGAGCACCTCCTGTCAGTCTGTAAACATTGTGTACATACATACATACATACATACATACATACATATACACACACTGCTGTGTGTGTGTAAGGGTGCTGTGTGTGAGGATGCTGGTAGTGTGCGTGCTGTTTTTGTGTAGGTGCTGTATGTTTGGGTGATTGTGGGGGTGGAGGTGGGGGTAGAAATATACTTAATATCTCCCCTCACTTCTTACCTTATGTAGGAAGGGGGATCCTTGTTCCTGCTCCCATCCCTGGTGGTCCAGTGGAGAGTGAACTCTAGCCTGCGGGGCTAGAGTTCACTCTCACGAGATCTGAGCGTTGCCGTGTCAACGCTCAGATCTCGTGAGAGGATCCTGGCGGAGCTGCTGGCTAGAGCTCCCCTGGTCCTCTCCTGCCATGCTGCAGTGGGCCGGTGGGGAGGGAGGCTTAGAGCAGAGCCGGTGCTTGGATAGCGCCAGCTCAGCATGAGCCGACAGGGGAGATCCTAAGATCTCAATCCAAAGATCTCAATCCATAGGCGTGCAGCGTTACAAATAGCAATTGCTGTCTGGAAGTGTAACTGCCACCAGTCTTGACCTGGGAGATACATTATAATTAAAGAAAAGCTAACTATACCTTGTTTAAGCAACCTTTAGCACTAAAGATATTATGGACTACATCTCATGTAATGCTCTTAGACCCATAATGCTAACAAAGCATGACGGGGGGGGGGTGGGGGGGGGAAGGGAGCCACACATGGAATGTCGAAGGTTGCCTACTCCTGCCCTAGACCTAACTCTAAACCTACCCGTAGCCCCATCTGTAAACCAAATTTTGAAGCTTGCTATTGTGGGAAAAACAATGTCATTGAAGCTTTCTGGAGACATCATTATAAAATAACTAGTCTGCTAGCCAAAAGGTTTATGAATATCTCCAAAACCTGAGATGGCATAATTTTGCCATAGTACATGCTTATGTTATTTAATTCTTCTTGGACAACCCTAATGTGTTTTGGTAATGAAGGAGGTTAAAAGTTGTGAATGTGTCTGTGTGCTGTGTTTGTAGGACATGCCCAATCATCCCAGGAATGTTGACCTTCTGCACACTGCAATACATTTGAAAACTAACAGGTTTATTTACTAAAGTGAGAATTAGAAGTGAATTTCAAACTTAAGATCAGAGGAGCTGGAAAAACTAAAACAAAAAAACCTTAAGGGTTTAGCATAATTTAATTAAAAAACACATCATACATTTGTTTTACAAAATACTTGATATAATACATGCTTTTGCAGGTAGTAAAAAATAGGAGTTGGAATTTTTCAAAAATTTTATGTAGTCATCTACACAAAATAATTAGCTGTATTGAGTAGAAAACACAAGATCTTTTCAAGACCATAGAATTTATTACATAAAGAATTAGTTGTTTTTTTTTTAGTACGGCCAAAGATGTTCCAAATTTGCAATTTTTACAAATTATCATCTATTTGTGCATCCATGCACAGGCAGGGGCAGACTGACCACTCGAACACATCGGTCATGGACTGAGTGTCCAATGCAGTCAGGGGTTCTGGTGAACAGCCATGCTTTGGCTAAGTGGGGAGATAACCCAAGAGGCTAAACTCCATAGACATATTACAGTGATAGGTTGTGGAGCCCAGGCAACCGATCTCACTGTGACACCACCTACATACGCCTTCTGAGTGAGACCTGACAGAGGTACTCCTCTCTCTGTGCCAGCTCTCCGTGATCTCTGCTGTTGTCATCTGTTTGAGAAGAGGTGGGGTCTGGGAAGTGATATCACTTCCTGTGCTCTCCTCTCATGCAGAGTGTAGAAGATAAGCAGTACCACTGGTAGCAGAGACAGGTATGTTACTTTTAAGAAAGGGAAAATGGGTGAGAAAAAGGTCAGAGGCAGTGGCGTACACATGACCCATGGGGCCCCAGTGCGAAAATTGATCCGTGGGCCCCCCCCGCGCCTACTTGGCGCTGGTCGGGGGCCGCAACACATGGCGGCCCCGCGACCGCGGTATGCACACACACTTAAAGGACCACTACAGACACCCGGATCACATCAGCTCAATGAAGTGGTCTGGGTGCCAGGTCCCTCTAGTTTTAACCCTGCAGCTGAAAACATAGCAGTTTCAGAGAAACGGCTATGTTTCACTGAGGGTTAATCCAGCCTCTGGTGGCTGTCTCATTGACAGTTGCGAGAGGAGCTTCCGCGATTCTCACTGTGAAAATCACAGTGGGAAGACACTGAACGTCCATAGGAAAGCATTGAGTAATGCTTTCCTATGGGCGGTTTAAATGCACGCGCGCGCCTCTTGCCGCGCATGTGCATTCGGAGCTGAGAGGTGGAGGGATCCCCAGCGCCAAGGGAGTCCGACGCTGGAGAAAGGTAAATGCTGAAGACACACACACACATTCTCACGAACAGACGCATACACGCTAGCTAACAGACACACACATTTACTGACATACATACACACTCACAAAACATACACTTTCACTGACAAACACACACTCACTAACAGACAAACACACAGTAACACTCACTAGCAGACACAGACACACTCACACTACCACACAAACACACATTTTTTTTTTTTTAAATGTATTCCCCCCAGCCTCCTTACCTTTTGGAGTGCTGGTGGGATTCCCTGGGGTCCAGTGGTGCTGCTGGGCTCCTGGGCAGGTAGCCAGTCGGGCACGCAAGGGAGCACTCAGTGCTTCCTCTTCAGCTCCCTTGCGCGCCGTGTAGGGATGCTGGCGCCGGAAGATGACGTCATCTTCCGGCTCCGGTATCGGTGCGCGAGGGAGCTGAAGAGGAAGCACTGAGTGCTCCCTCGCGCGCCGACCGGCCACCCGGTGTCAGCAGGGCCAGCCTCGGGGGGGCCCTGGTGTGGCCGGCTCCTGGGCCCCCCGGGGGAAGAGGCTGGCCCTGTGGCTACATACCGGGTCACAGGGGACCCTGGTATGTACGCCACTGGTCAGAGGCACATGTGGAATGCATGGATTAACTCTGCCCCCTTTGATCCCACTCGGGTCTATCAGTGAGGGCAAACGGGGCAGAGTTAAGCGACAAGTGGAGGCAGAGCTACATGGCAAGTGGGGTGGGGCAGGCAGGCAAACCCTCTGCCTGGTAAGTTAGGGGAAGCAGGAAGGAGTTCCTACTCCCACACCTACCGCCACACTTCCCCTGCTCCCCAAGCTAGCCTAGCTGTGCCCCCTGCTCCCCCACCTAGCCATTGTGTGGAAGTCTATTCACAAACCAGACTTTACATAGGACATGAGGTCATGCGCTTAGACTGGAAGAAAGAAGATTTCGTCTAAGGCAAAGAAAAGATTTTTTTTGTATTGTAAGAACAATAAGGATGTGTTATTCTCTGCCTGAAGAAGTGGTTTTATCAGAGTCCATACAGATGTTCAAACAGCTGCTAGATGCATACTTGCAAAAACAGAATATTCATCATTTTTCAATGTAGGGTAATAACTGCTTGATCCAAGGATAAATCTGACTGTCATTCTGGGGTCAAGAAGGAATTTTTTTCTTAGCTTGTTGCAAAATTGGAAGTGCTTCAAACTGGGTTTTTTTCTCTTCTCTTGGACCAACAGCAAAAGACAAATGTGAGGAAGGCTGAACTTGATAGACGCAACTCTATTTTCAGCTCTGTAAATATGCCCCTGCTCCCCCAGCTACCCATTGTGCCCCCTGCTCCCCCACCTACCACCACACTGCCCCTGCTCCCCCACCTAGCTTTACTGTGCCCCTGCTCCCCCACCTACCATAACACTGCCCCTGCTCCCCCACCTAGCCTAACTGTGCCCCTGCTCCCCCACCTAGCCTAACTGTGCTCATGCTCCCCCACCTACCCACTTTGGCCCCTGCTCCCCACCCTAGCCCTAACTGTGCTCCTGCTCCCCAGCTACCCAAAGGTCCCCTCCTCCCTAGCTACCCCCTAACTTTGTGCCCCTGCTCCCCCAGCTACTGTGCCCCCTGCTCCCCCTGGCTACCCACTGTGCCCCCCACCTAGCCTAACTGTGCCCCTGTTCCCCCACCCAGCCTAACTGTGCCTCTGCTCCCCTACCCAGCCTAACTGTACCCCTGCTCCACCAGCTAGCCACTGTGCCCCTGCACCACCAGCTAGCCACTGTGCCCCTTGCTCACCTAACCACTGTGCCCCCTGCTCCCTAGGCTACAACCACTGTGCCCCCTGCTCCCCAACCTTCCCATTGTGCCTCTGCTCCCACAGTTACCCACTGTGCCCCTGCTCTCCTACCGATCACTACACTACTCCTGCTTCCCCAGCTGCCCACTGCCAGCAAGTTACCCTATCAAAAACAGTGTTTTATTAAAACACTGTTTTTGGTTAGATTAACCTCTTAAAAGCTAATCTGGCTCTTTTTTGATGACCCTGCGGTTGTTGGTGTCATGACTATGTCGCTCTCACGCAGCCATTCTGGGTGCTGGGCAGCGTGCATGTAAAATATGTGTGAAAACCTCACTAAGGAGTAGTAGACAAAAATCATTGCACTAATAGGGGGTCCTTGATGTCCTATTTCCTTGGGTCCCTGTGAGGTGTCAGTCCACCCCTGCGCAAGCACACACACACACACTGCTAGGGGGCAGGTAAACAACTTATATGGGGACTCTTTTAAAAGTGCATAAACCTGGAATGTGTTGAATGAAATGAAGACTGCAGGAACAAAATATAACACTCGGTTTAAGACCATTTTTAAATCAGCTATTTTAAACTAATGTTTTCAATTTAACTACATTGTTTAGTGAAAAATATTACAACCTGCTATCTACATTTAACGGGTTACTTTCCTAAAGCGGACACTGTTTAAAAAATATCCCTATACGACGCTTAAGATTAATGTTCCCTGATCATTACAGTTTAACTTACATTTTAGAAATATACTTCTATATTAAGGTAACTAAAACAAGTACATGTAAAAAAAATGTATTCATAAAAAAACAAAAAACAAAAATACAGCCCACCACCACAATATAAAGTTCTTAAAATTGAATCGAGCTGAGATACACACCCTTTCCGGGGGAGCATAGGTGCCAAATCCAACCACTGGCATTTTGTACCCATCATTCAACACAAAATGTGCATCTGGTGTCAGTGCCATGATTTAGTCTTGGAACCTGGACTGCTACAGGATACAATATATGCTTTCACTCCAATTACTTTTACAGGAGTTTATATTAAGATCAAAATCCAAACTCCACCCTCTGCCTGCCTGCTCAGGGACAGCCCAGACACTTTTGGAAAACAGGGGAGAGATTGAGAGTTATTTTCATTATGTGTTGTTAACCACGAGCTGTGTGCTACAGTCGTTAGACTGCTATGTATTTCGTTTATTTTATGTATTTTGCTCAGTCATTGTGTCACACCTTCCATTATTTGTATTTCAGCAAGTAGTCTCTGGCGCTGAAGGTGTTAAGCAAACACCTGTTAACTTTGCTCATAGTTCTTAGAGATTAGATTGACTAATTCATTTTTTTTTAAACTGGGAGCATTGAAATCATTCCTACCCTGATATTTATTTATTTTTTAAATAGAAGAAATTTCTTTAGTTTAAGCAGCATTTTGTAGTAGCTTTGTTGTATTGTGTACAGAAAATATTTTAAAAATTGTTAGAAAATACAAGTTTTTTATTAATTGCTGAAAAAAGGGAGAAAGAAAACATGCAAGTAAACATGACAATGCAAACTGACATACTGGAACAATCTGTGATGAACTTTAAGACCCTGCTGAAACAAATTTTCACAAGGGAAGGTGGGGAATAATTTTTACATAAGATTAAGTTTAAAGTATCCAGAGGTAATTTTGATTTCCAGGTAGTGATCATAAATGCAGTGGTGTATCTTAGATCTGTGCTGCCCTAGGCATGACAGACAGGGCCGGACTGGGGCACAAAGCAGCCCTGGAAAAAAAATCTTTGTCAGCCCCATAAGTCATTGCCCCATATATTGCCGTATGTAATATGTAAGGCAATGTTTTGCCACCCCAGGTGGTTGAGTAAAATATATATCTATATCTATATATATATATATATATATATATATCGAATATATATTGCTTTTTCTAATATATAATATTGGTCCTTTCAGCCTCATAGACAAACAATGTCACTGATATACATAAGCTCATTGGCATAAAAACACAAGCTCACTCACTCACTAGCAGGCACACACACACACGCAAGCAAGCTCACTCACTAGCAGGCGCACACACACAGACACACAGCTTAATGTAGTGGTTCTGGTGTCTATAGCCTGTCCCTGCAGACTTTTCAATGTAAACACTGACTTTTCCGAGAAATGGCAGTGTTTACATTGCTTACTAGTGACAGTCTCTAGAGGTGCTTCCTGTGTCAGTGCTGCACAGTGTGATTGCACAGTGTGCAGCACCTACATTCAGGGCCTTTGCAGCCAATCCTATGGCAGAGCATTGGATTGTCTGAGATCATCAAGCTTGATGATCTCAGCCATAGAGGCAGGGCCAGTCAAGGGGAGACCAGCACGGCGTGGGGAGAAAAAAAAAAAAAGGTGAGTAAAAACACTTTTTGAATACACACAGACACACACATACACCATGACAGACACAGACACACCATGACAGACACACACACACACCATGACACAGACACACCATGACACAGACACACACACACACACCATGACACAGACACACCATGACACAGACACACACACAAATGACACAGACACACACACACACACACACCATGACACAGACAGATACACACACATACACTCACACTGACAGAATGACACATATTACCTGTGGGTGACTGGCTGGGTCTGCTGGTGGCCGCAGGGGGAGGCCTGATGGCTGCATAGGGAGGTCTGCTGGCGGCCGCTGGGGGAGCTGGCTGTCTCTGTCTCTGCTCTCCCGCCCTCGCGCACTGCTGAATGAGACCAGGGCCGGAATATGACGTCATAGAGACAATACAGCTCCCCCAGCGGCCGCCAGCAGACCTCCCCCAGCGCCGCCAGCAGACTCAGGTGTCTGCCCACCAGGAAATTTCCCAGTATCCCGGTGGGCCAGTCCGGCCCTGATGACGGAACTCGGGAAGGGTCGGTGCAAGGATATTTGCCACCCTTGGCAAAATAAAATTTTGCCGCCCCACCCATGTGACATCACAATGCCCCACCCATATGATCTTCCATATGAACCAATGCCAGTGCTGCACACAGTGTGTGTTAACATTAAAAACATTAAGCTACAGTGGTTCTGGGGACCATAGTGTCCCTTTAATCTGAGGTAAATGAGAGTTTAGTGCAACAAAAAATATGCTGGATTGCCTACTTACAACCAGATGAGGATGATGATGGGCTCTGGCTGCATTCTAGCTCCACTGGTCTGGTGTAGAACAGGCTTTCTGGAGGCTGTTTGTAACTATGGTTACAAAGCTCAAGGTTTGGGCCCCAGGGCCTGACGGTGAGTATACCCATAAGGCCCACCCATAAGTCCACCTACATGTTCCCCCCAAAGTTAGCTCACAGGGAGTGGAGTATGTAGGGGATGTGTTATGAGTTATTGTAGAATATCTAAAGCGTGTTCTCATATATATTATAGTGTATAGGGTTACCAGTTTGTGTAGTGGATGTAGTGTGTGTGTAGTGGATGCAGTGTGTTTTTGTGTAAGGGATAGAAAGCAGTGTGTGTTTGTGTGTAAGGGACCCCCCGTGGTCTCTCCACTCCCCCCTTGTTGTCTCTCCTCCATCCCACTCTTAGTGGTCTCTCCTCTCCCCCCCACCCTTAGTGACCTCTCCTCTTCCCCCACTCCACTCCCCCCTTGTTGTCTCTCCTCCATCCCACTCTTAGTGGTCTCTTCTCACACCCCCTCCCCTCTTGGCCTCTCCTCTCACCCCTCCCCTAGTGGTCTCTTCTCCACAGCCCCTTCCTCCCTTAGTGATCACTCCTCACCCTCCAACCTTAGTGGTCTCTGCTCACCACCCACCCTTCCTAGTGGTCACACCCCCTCCCTTCCTTTAGTGGTCTCTCCTCATCCCCCCTCCGTCCCTTAGTGGTCTCTCCACCACCCCCTTTCCCTTCCTTAGTGGACTCTTTCCCTCCCCTACCTCTATCGTAGCGTGGCCGAGCTCCGGTCCGGTCCGGTCCGCAGTACAGGAGCTTCTGTTTCCTGTACCCGGCAGGACTGACAGGAATTGCTCACTGAACTACCACTGTCAGTCCCGCCAGGTATAGGAAACGGATGCTCCTGTACCGCCAACCAGAGTGGAGCCTGGCCACGCTACACTGAGGGACTGGCAGGAGGGAGCGCTGTGTGCTTCCCTCCTGCTGATTCTTCATATCTAGCGCCCGGGGGCCCGTACGCCCTAATGGAGGCTCCGGACCAGGCAGTGCTGCAGCCGCCAGAGGCTCTCTAGGCCGCCATAGGCTGCCTAATTCTCCTACAGGATGCGCGGGCCCTGAACTCAGGCACCCTCTAATTTAAATTTGCCCCACCCCTGCCTATCAAAGCCACACCTCTTCCTCTTAAAGACTAACACACACTTTGATTGACAAACACAAACTCACACACCCACTCACAGACAGGCACATACTCTCATATACACCGACATACATAAACACTCACTGATTTGACACAATCTGACAGACACACACAATCACTCACTCACTGACACTGACTGACAGATACACCCACTGACACACATACACTCACTCACAGATGCACACTGGCAGACATACACACATTCACTGACAGACAAACACATACTGACTGACAGACACACTCACTGACATAACCACACACTCACTCACACACACACACACATCCACTGACAGAGTCACACACACTGACAGACACACCCACATTCACTTACAGACACACATGGTCGCTCACAGACACACACACATTTACTGACAGACACACTCACTCACTCATTCATTCACAAAGACATGCTCACTCACAGACAGACACACACAGACTGACAGACAGACACACAAACTGACAGACACACGCGCACACACACACTGACAAACAGACACACATACACATTTTCCTCAACACATTTACAGACATCATTTTTTTAGCTTTAATTTAAATCCACCCAGCCTCCCTATTTTTGGGGCTGCTGGGTTGGCTGGTGGCCGGGCTGCTGAGGGTGCTGGGCAGACAGGAAGAAGTTTAGGCAGGCAGGCGGATTGGACGCACAAAGCAGGAAGTGAGGGAGCTGAGCTCTCCTTACTCAGCTCCCTGCGTGCCGCAGAGTAATCACAGGAGCCAGAATATGATGTCCTATTACTGCAGGGTGCTCGAGGGAGCTGAGCAGGGAGCGCTCACAGACCAAAGGGGGGAGCCCAAAGGTGGCCAGCCGGCCAGCTCTTGGGTCCCCTTAAAACGAGGCTAACAAGCCATTTGCCAAGGGCATTTGGGGGCCGCATCTTTTGCAAGACAAATGCCTTGTTAGCCTCACGGCAAATATAGCCCTCCATATAAGACAAATGTTTAGATCAGGGTGGTGCAGTAGACATTGCTTACCTAGATTTCAGTAAGGCTTTTGACACTGTTGCACATAGAAGGCTTATCAATAAACTGCAATCTTTAAATTTGGATTCCAATATTGTTGAATGGGTAAGGCAGTGGCTGAGTGACAGGCAACAGAGGGTTGTAGTTAATGGAATATATTTGAAGCTTGGACTTGTCCCCAGTGGGGTACCTCAGGGATCTGTACTTGGACCCATTCTCTTTAATATTTTTATTAGTGATATTGCAGAAGGTCTTGATGGTAAGGTATGTCTTTTTGCTGATGATACTAAGATTTGTAACAGGGTTGATGGTCCAGGAGGGATAAGCCAAATGGCAAATGATTTAGGTAAACTAGAAAAATGGTCAGAATTGTGGCAACTGACATTTAATGTGGATAAGTGCAAAATAATGCATCTTGGACGTAAAAAACCAAGGGCAGAGTACAGAATATTTGATAGAGTCCTAACCTCAACATATGAGGAAAGGGATTTAGGGGTGATTATTTCTGATGACTTAAAGGTAGGCAGACAATGAAATGGAGCAGCAGGAAATGCTAGCAGAATGCTTGGTTGTATAGGGAGAGGTATTAGCAGTAGAAAGAGGGAAGTGCTCATGCCGTTGTACAGAACACTGGTGAGACCTCACTTGGAGTATTGTACACAGTACTGGAGACCGTATCTTCAGAAGGATATTGATACCTTAGAGAGGGTTCAGAGAAGGGCTACTAAACTGGTTCATGGATTGCGGGATAAAACTTACCAGGAAAGTTTAAAGGATCTTAACATGTATAGCTTGGAGGAAAGACGAGACAGGGGGGATATGATAGAAACATTTAAATATATAAAGTGAATCAACACAGTAAAGGAGGAGACTATATTTAAAAGAAGAAAAACTACCACAACAAGAGGACATAGTCTTAAATTAGAGGGACAAAGGTTTAAAAATAATATCAGGAAATATTACTTTACTGAGAGGGTGGTGGATGCATGGAATAGCCTTCCAGCTGAAGTGGTAGAGGTTAACACAGTAAAGGAGTTTAAGCATGCGTGGGATAGGCATAAGGCTATCCTAACTATAAGATAAGGCTAGGGACTAATGAAAGTATTTAGAAAATTGGGCAGACTAAATGGGCCGAATGGTTCTTATCTGCCGTCACATTCTATGTTTTTATGTTTATAAATGATATCATCAAAGTATCCCTGTTTAGGAGGAACAGTCTCTATTGTGGGTCCCTCTTTTCCATAAGCTCTATATTGTTTTGTGTCTGAGTGTATAACAGAGCTCCACAGCAGTAATGGGTCTTTGAACTACAATAAATGTGTTTTAAATCAATCTGTATAAATAAGATACAATTTTCTTGTTCTAAATTGCATTTTAGTTTTAAAAAATTAGGTGGTCTGTCTGCTTGGTCATGGCAATTGAACTGAAATGGAAAAGAGAAATACTTACCTGAACTACCACTGTTCTCCCTATGCATGGGAGTACAATGTGGGTGTCTGTGGAAGAGACTTCAAAACCCTTCTGCTAAAAAAAAAACCTCTTCATCTGAAGACACCTGGCATAGTATCTGCCTTGTCAGACATTGAAGTGAAGATAACTGACTCCTGATACAGAGATTGTGACTGTAACGGAACCGATGGCACCCTGACCGGGTAGCTTCCGCCAACAGATGCTCCTAGTGCTTTCCGAGGACTCCAAGCACTCTGCCTGACACCATAACCACTGCAGACCCCACGAACTGCCGCAGCTTGGTTGGGGTCTCGCCGTCTCCACCCACTCTGGACCCCAGACCAGGGTCCAGCTTCCAGTAGGTTCACCTCTCCGAATTCCAGAGAGCAGGAACCGGAACAAGCTTAGTGATTATACCCTGGGGAGTATAGTGATTATAGCAATTCCCGGAGTGTAGTTTCTCCAATCCCCCAAACATGAGCCGAAACTTCATGAAGGTACAAGATGATCTGGCTTTTAATGACCACACACTGGCTTTTATGCAAGTCCCCATGCAAGGGGACATCCCACAGGGTGGGACACAGTACAACCAATCATTTACAGGCAAACCGTAAAACACACCCAGCACAAACATACAATCCCTCCCCTCTGCCTGTGATATAATTACTGCACACAATTGGTTAATGTAATTTATCACAGGCAGGAAAAATACACTTTTTACACATATACTGTAACTTTAAAACTATGCATCATATTCACATAAAACATACATATTCAGAATCAGCATACTTTAAATATAAACATACCCAAAAATCATACAAATCCCCCCAGTAGATAAAAAGTTAGCTGGGAGTCCTTTATGACCGACCACAAGCACATTTTCATGCCCAAAACAGTCCCAGAGAATCAGGCTGTGCGGTCGGTCTATTTCCCATGTTAAAGTCAGTTCAAACAGATGAACGACAACCATTCGAATTGTTGAACTGTCGAATGGCGTTCGAACTGTCGAATGCATTGAAGTCTGGAGAAGGTAAAACTTCAGCTGAATTAAAGATGGCCGCCGCCACATGTTCGTTTGTCGAATGGCGACCCCACAGCTTTGGGCTATTTACCGACAGCAGGCTCCCAGCCTGGGAGGTAAATTGCCTGCACACTTCCACTTCTGGGTGGTCCGCCTGTGTGGTACTTGGTTCAGTAAGCTCCATTTACTGAACCAAGTGGGAGAAAGCCATAGACAAAGTATTTGAAAGGTCTGGGGACATAGTCTTAAAGGGGCATTGTCACACAAAGTCTCAATATATCCCCAGACGGTTCTTAAAGGGCCAGCATGGTCCAATACAAGTCCATAAACCACAATGCAGTTCTTAAAGGGCCAGCAGCACAATATAAATCTATTAGCCCAAATAATGTTTGTAAAGTGCCATACAACCCAGGGCCATAGTCATGAGGCAGGAGGCTGGCACTCCAACAGCCAGGGGCAAAGGGCAACTTGTCACCTAAAAATCTAGTGACAAAGGGCATTTCGTCACAGTGACCTTTATTAAAAAAGGATAAATAATCTAACTCTGTGTAAATGACACTGCATTTTGCAAAGCAGCTCCTAAATTAGTTTGAATCTAGTCCAGATTTCAGGCTGACGAGATGCAATCGAACAGTTAAAATGTGGAACCCAGCTAATGAGAACTGGACAGTTGCAACATACTTTAGCCTCTTGCTGCTAAATGTTTTTTGTAAACTATACACATGTGCAATTCGTTTCGGGCCGAATATGTACTTTACCGAATTATTACCGAAGTTCCTAAGTGTCGAAGTGCTGAAGTTCTGAAGTGCCGAAGCACAGTATTGCCTAAGTACTAATATACTTAACCAGTGGAAGAAGAAGAATGTTACACTGTATACAATTTTAAATAAAAAGTATACAAACGTAGCCAGGATTCAGCTGTAAGCATTTGCAACACTTACAACAATCAAGTAACACACATTTATATATAATGTAAGTTACTTGGCCAGTCAATGTAATGACATGAATGAATAAGTAGATAACTCCCTAATTCCCACGGTATTAGGGAGCTATCTACTAAAAGGCTGAAAGACCTAAATTGGTCTTTCAGACAAATTTACTAATACTAAGTGTCGAAGTGCTGAAGTGCCAAAGTACCGAATTTCAGAATGCCGAACCGAACCGAAAAATGTTCCCATGCACATGCCTAGTAAACTTTTTTGTCATACATTTCAAGTACATATGCCCCCAACTGCGGTATATTCCTCCTGCTAGCTATGGTGTCATATTGACCTTCACAGGTTTTTTTTTTTTCTTTTTTCTTTCTTTACAGTTTAGTTTGGCAAATAAAATAGTCTTTAATGCGCCTGGACCGGCGTATTAAGGGGTTAATAAGTGTGGCGAAACCGGCCTCGCCACGTGTCCTTGGAGGGGGCTGCTTGCCCGCCTCTTGCCTTTGGACTATGGACCAGACTTTGTGTGGGGTTATTAACCCAGATAGCTATGCCATGGAGCCAATTTGTGTAGTTAAAGACTTCGGCTCCATGGCAATTGAACTGTGTGAATAGGATCTGAGCGCTATTCGGTAGTTTTGTGCGCTCGGATCCCGGCTATCTGGGGATGTGTGACATGTCTGTTTTATGTATGGGATGTGACTTTATGTATTTTAAAGTGTTTTGTGTCTTTTTGCAACCATGTGCTTAATGGAGTCTTGTGTCTGTCCTGGGAGATAATTGAATTACTCTCCAGGATAGAAGACTCTGAAACTGGTTTGGGCCGGAAAGCCATGCTTCATTTAGTCACAAAGGACTTTCCCTTAACTTTTGAACCCCTGGTCTGATTCGTGGCATTTTTTAATATGTTGTTCCCCTGAATGGATTGATTATGAAAATGTAAGTTTTATGTATGTACGATGTTAACTCACAAAGTTATAAAAATGTACAAAAAGTAACTTTTCAGCTTGGAGATAATTGAGTAGATACAATAATTGACTCAATTATCTCCTAAGCAGAGGGGAGGAATATGCTGGGTGTGTTTCTATTTTCCCATTGTGTCT